CTCTTTACATTCTTCGCACTCCATATATAGACTAACATATTTGCGCTGTTGCCCCCAACCACACTTGGAGTGGGTTGTTTCCGTAGGTGGATTTTTGACACGGGTCTTGCCCGTGTTGAGATTGCGCTGGAACCCCCATTCCCTATACTACTTCACTCTACTGTATATATATTCCAACCCTTTTTCTTTCCAACCGTTACTAGTAAACAAATAAATCATTCCTAAGGAAATAATACGTGGTCTGAACTGAGAAAACAATCGTCTCAGCCGGAAAGTCTAATTATTTTTTTGTGTATTATTTTTAAATTATTTTGTTCAGATAAGAAATCTCATCGCCTTTAGCAAACTGTCCCTCCCAAACTTCCAGGTGAATTCCCAGAAAATAGTCTTCAAAGACAAATCCTGTAATCATCGTCAAAAATGCGCATTAGTAAAACAAGCTGTTATGCATGCACGCAAGAAGCAGTATTTGCATACAGACAGTGGCAAGCTAGATTATGATCATAAAGACACGTTTCAACGTTCCCGTCTGTTCTCTGAGACGTGAGGATTTCCGTGCATCAGCTCTTGGGGTGTAAACAATTTTCCACGCGAGGGAATATAATGCATAAATACAGATATTTCTCGATACTCCTCGAATTGAACTTGTTCAGTTTATCTTTTTGGGATTTCCTTTCATTGGAAAAGAAAAATTTTCCCCAAAACATCAAAGAACGGAAAATCGAAGGATGAAAGAGCGACCAAGCGTATCTACAGGTTGGGCGCTATCAAGGGTTTGCATATTTAACTATGGATCTATAGATGATGTATTCTTTCCTGTTACAGATATATATATATATCGCATTGGTTGGTTGGATTATAACCTTCAGCTCATCATGGGAGTAAACAACTCAAGCTAGCAGCTAGGTGATTCCTCAGATGGTAGTCTCGTAAATTAAAACAAAAGAAAACAATACAATCAGTGTCTGGTACTGATGTATCATGCTTAGTCTATTTTGCACCTACCAAGTTCAATCAATGTACACTTTTATTTCTGTATATTTTTGTTTTTCTTTTGAGCATTAGAAATCGTTTCACGAATGATTCGAAATGTCTTAATGGAATGTAGATTAGTACTATACTGCTAAAACCAATATACAGCTTTTTCAACAAAAAAAAAAAACTTTGGTGAAGGTTTAGTTGTTTACTAAGCTTGAAATGCATTATATACATATGTAAATAATACACAAGGAAAAAAAACCGGAAAAACGTGCAGACAAAGTTGAGGAGAATTTCATATTGTTGTAGCCTGCGTGCAGCCAGACTTTTCTCTCGTATAGACTTAACAGACAGTTAGAGGCCGGCTGCACGCAGGCTAATATTGTTGACCTTTCGCTAATTGAATTCACGTCGCCCATAGTGCATTTCGGGCATACAACATTCAACAAAAACCTTTATCGATCTTTCTTGCAAATAGCTGGATGCCCGAAGAAAACCTAACGTTATGTTGAGCAGCACCAGTTTTCGGGCAAATCTCAAATAATAATGATGATAATAATAATAATAATAATAATAATGATAATGATGATGATGATAATGAATTTATTTCAATCGAGGGTAACAGCCTTTACCTTAATTAAAATAGATAATTTTTAGTTGGTCCTCAATGAAGAAGAGGAACGTCCCTCATGGCTTTAGAAAGTGACAAGGCAGCTCGGACAGGTATCGAATAGAAAGGGAAAACAATATGGTGTTCCTGTATGTAATATCACTTGTGCTGCCGGGGGGTATTACATTATTTAATCATCCACTATACTAGTGCCATAATTATACATATATATATATATATATATATATATTATATATAGACTTATATATACCAGTATACATATCCACCTCTATTTACATCAAGATATATATTAGTGGAATTATTAAGCTCATGGGTTGCCTATGGTACAGCATGCCACAGGGTAACCAGCTGGAAAAAGAGATTTTAAAATCTTGCAAACTTTTTCCAAGCATTTGGCTACAAGGAGAAGAATGCTTTGGAAGATCGTTTTTGGGTCGAACGATCACGTGTTAGAAGATTCTTTGTTTGAGTTGTATCCATATTCATGTGTCTTCTTATGTGCAACCGTTAAGCAAAGAAATGGTACTGCAGGAAATGATATGTAGAATAAATGTCTGACAACGTGCAAAGCATTCTGGTCGTGGTAGTCAACTAACAATAACACGTAAACGAACTAAAATACTCATACCACATGTCATATCAGTGTCATGACAGGATCTCTACACCAACACCCAACATGTAACGCCATACCAGTACATGTCATATCAGTGTCATGACAGGATCTCTACACTAACACCCAACATGTAACGCCATACATTACATGTCATATCAGTGTCATGACAGGATCTCTACACCAACACCCAACATGTAACGCCATACCAGTACATGTCATATCACTGTCATGACAGGATCTCTACACCAACACCCNTGTCATGACAGGATCTCTACACCAACACCCAACATGTAACGCCATACAGTACATGTCATATCAGTGTCATGACAGGATCTCTACACCAACACCCAACATGTAACGCCATACCGTACATGTCATATCAGTGTCATGACAGCATCTCTACACCAACATCCAACATGTAACGCCATACCAGTACATGTTGTCATATCAGTGTCATTACAGGATCTCTACACCAACACCCATCATCCAACATGTAACGCCAGACGCTTTATACGATTTAAATCTTTAGCTAGTTTTCTAAGATCTGGTTTGGCCGAGTCAAGCTCATCGTAGTTTTCTTGTGTTTGTTCCAAAACTGGAGAAGAAAAGAGTTGGAATACAAAGTTAGCATTCATGCTTTAATTAACCCTTCTATGTTAGCCATAACTGGTTGCTCCCTCACTTTTATTTATCATGTGATAAAAGAGAGTCACTTTTCCAGAAGAGCTACAGGTGAATTCTAGCGACAGTTCCCCTTCCCCACTCGCTAAAAACAGGACAACCTCTTGGAGACGTTATGCAAAGATGGTTACAGGCTTACATCAATGTTTTGTTGCGAGCAAAGCAACACCCTTTAAATTCAACTCAGATGAGAGATTTTGAATGTTTGAATACAATTTCAAAACTAAAAGCGATGAGAAATGAACGAACCTTCAATCTGTCGTTCAATGACATCCATCCTAGATTCCAGTGATTCTTGCAGTTCTGCAACATCATTTATTAAATTACTCATGGCTACATCATCCTCGGTCTCGTTTGGACCCAACGCATCAACAACATCATTCTTATGTACAGTATTCTCAGATGAACTGGGTGTATTGATTGTTTCATTCTTATCCTGATCTGCTATCAGTACAGCCACCCCAGAATCTTCTCTTTGCTTTTCTACATTGTTGTTCAGTCCTTTTTTATCTATTTTTTTAGAATTGAATTCAGTTGTTTGGGTATTCCCTTGGGCTGTGCCACCCACAGGAACGAGAGGAGGCAGAGGACTGATGGCTTCTTCTTCTTCAGTTCCTTCGGTATTATTATTTACACTCGAATTGACAGTCAAATTCCCTGGGCCTTGTTGAGAGGCCACCTCTCCATTTAACAGTCCATTTCCATTAGAGATGCTAGTATTCTCTATACCATTCTGATTGTGATCTCTCAGAGGCGTTTTAGGTCTTTCAAGCCCGTTTGGAAAAGGGTCTTTTTTGACCATCAGTAACGATGTTTCGATTGATGGTTTTATAGAGTCTAGATTGCTAGGGCTTTTTAGTGCTGAGTCTGGGTCTTCGTCAGTCTTGTTTGTTGGTTTGTACCACATTCCCAAGGCAGGATGGTTGGGTGATCTGACAAACAAACAAACCAAAATAAAGGAAATAAGAAAAAACAAGAAATAATACTCTAGGGAATGACAGGTGGTCTGATTTGGGAAACCAAAGAGGTCTATAAATCAAGTACACACACAACATAATATTATACCTGAGTATGTCCAGTTTAACACGTAAACTCTTCAGTACACTATCGACACTATGCATATCAGACATCAGATCATGTGTTGATAATGATATTTGACTCTTGTAACTTGGATTCTCTTCTGTCTCAGACAAGAACGAGAAGGATGGAAGCGAACCTTTCCTAAACCAATCAAAGTCGTTCTGAAAAACAAAATACCACATCATTAGCCAAGTAATAGGGATGCACCATAATTGTCCCCCTCGATAACACCCTATTTCCTAGTTCGTCAGCTGACAAAATTAAATTGTGTCTATATAGGAGAGAGGGGTTCGTATGACTTACTCTATACTTGGCTCGTCTTCTTAGRCCTGTGGGTATAAACAAGTATGTCATCAGAAAACTGTTCACAGAAAAACCTTTACAACAAAAGCACACGAATAATTGCACACCTTTTTGCACGTAACGTGGTTCAATAATTGAAATAAATTACACATTCTAAGATAGTGGAAATGATCAGGATGTACAACTACTGAATTAAATCACATCATTCGCGCTTACTACTAATGTAGATACTTCTTCTTACTTCAACAAAACTAAGCTAGCTTATTTTCCCAATATCCGTTGCTGGATTCTCCTCTACGCTTACTGTGGTCAAATAAAAACCTCCCATGGCAGACAAGAGAGTTGGGGCAAGTCTAGATTATTTTATATTATTGCCAGCCAGGTATGCGGACAGCTTCCTAAAGAGAAGGGAAAATGAACTTACAATAACTTAATAATTATTGGATACCTTTGGGATTACTGCAGACGTAGCACAGATACTTAGATGGTACAGTCTGCTCCGTTAAGCCTACACACTCACTGTGCTGCCATGTTAAACACTGCTCGCACTGAAAACAACCAGACGGACAATACTGTTAGTACAACTAGATAATGGAGAACAACTATTGAATTAAAATTGAAAAAAAAGACCACCCCTCCCCCTTCAAAACGAAAAAACGAAAGCAAGCCCTCAAGCTGGAGAAAACTGAGCTGTGAGTGACACCTAAGATCCACAAGCAAGTCGTTCTGACAAACTTGTTTGCTCAGCACAGTTGGTCAATCAACTTTCTCTCTCTGTAAAACCCAACATGCTTAATCCAATTCAAACTGTCAGTTTGTTGTTTCCTGTCTTAGATCAGCCCAGAGATTGTTTCAGGGTTTGATCTGTGAGTAAGCTATGCCCTGGAACAGAAGTTGTAATAACAATAATAGATTGCTGGTTGGACTAGTACCTGTATCATGAAGCCACCTTCATCAGTCTCCTCACAGCGACATCGTATCACATCCCCAGTACTCACATCCTCTTCCTCCACTTCAATACTTTCTATTGAACCACAGTACATGGCATCTGCTTCAGTCCCTGGCTCAATCTCCAGATCAGTGTCCTGTAAATTAGATTTAACTGGTGATTCTACCTTGACAGCAAGAGATTCCAGTACTGTAGTGATGTCGTGTTTTGATTCAGATGGTGATATTTCTGGTARTGATTCTGTAGACAGTTGCCCAGGAGCTGAGGAGCGATGACAGCGACGCTTGGCTAAATTAGGACCAGCAACATCAGGAGAACTTTCTGGGGTACCATCTGATCTCATGGACGCTGGAATTATGATGCATAAATATATATCATGGATGATAATGATTCCATTTGGGTTAAGTTTAGTTTGTTAATCTTATGAAAATTTGCTTTTGGGCATATGGATTACATCATCAATATCGCCATCATTTACTGTATCACCTTCAGTTCCACCAACATCAAGATTACATTAAGATACTTGCACTAACGAGTCACATAACGCCATCCACCAAATGTCATTAAATATAAAATCAAATATTGTACAAGGATTTGCATGGGGAAAGTGTTGGCTGGTAAGCTTTTGCCATCCAGTGCATTTTCCCATACAAATCCTTATAAAACATTCAATTTTATATCTAAAGCCATTTCTCCAGTTTCGCTTATCATGAACTGAAACTCTGCCTTCCTACTTATGCCGAGATGCTCTTTTCATTTCTGTATTTTTTATTTTGAMAAAACTGCTCGTTTTAAGGGAGATACGGTCAAGTGACCTGTTAGTGCAAGTCGTCTATTCATCATCATCCATCACAATCACCAACACTAACATCATCAAGACCATGATTAGCAACGTTATCACATCATCACTATTGCCATGCAATTTATCATCATCATCATCCACCTTCATCACCAATACTACCATCATCAAGACCATCATCAGCAACATTATCACAATATCATTATTATCGCCATGCAATTTATCATCATCATCATCATCCACCTTCATCACCAACACTACCATCATCAAGACCA